CTTGCGCTTGCAAGGCAGGCCACCAAACCACTGAGCTAAATCCCCAGCCCCAGTATAACTTTCTTAAAGGGGCCAAGTAGTAAATAGTTTAAGATTTGAGAATCATATGGCCTCAGTTGCAACAACTCAACTGCCATTGTAGTTCAAAGGCAGTCATAGACAATATATGAGTAAATGAGCATGAATATATTCCAATAAAACTTTATGTAAAATATGAATTTGTTCACCAATATTCAGAGCAGCATTATTCACAAGAGCCAGAAGATGGAAAAACACAAATGTCCATCAACTGAGGAATGGGTAAACAAAATGGAGCCTACACATAAAATGGAAGACCCTTTTTGTTTTTTGTTTTATTTTGTTTTTGAGATGGTATCACTATGCAGGTTCAGGTTGGCTTTGAACTCACTTTTTTTTTTTTTTTTTTTTTTTGGTTCCAGGGATTGAGCTTTGGTCCTTGCGCTTGCAAGGCAGGCCACTGAACCGCTGAGCTAAATCCCCGGCCCTGAACTCACTATGTAGCCCAGGCTAGCCTTGAACTCACAGTGATCCTTCTGCCTCAGCCTCCTGAGTGCTGGCATACAATGGAATATTCTTCAGCCTTAAAAAGGAAAGACATACACGACACAACATGGATGAACATGGGTGTACCTGGAAGACATTGTGCAAAGTGAAAGAAGACAGAAACAAAAGGACAAAGAAGTGTATGATTCTACTTGCATAAAATTCTACAACAGACAAATTCTTAAAGAAAGTAGAACAGATGTAGAAAGAATGAGGGCAGGGAACGATGAAGAGTTAGTATTTAATTGGTACAGAATCTCCAGAAATGGCTAGTGGTGATGGTTGCACAATATTATTATGAATGTATTTAATACCACGGAGCTGTAGTCTTTTTTGTGTGTGGGGGGGTACCAGGTATCAAACTCAGGTCCTCAAGCTTGCAAGGCACCACTGAGCTAAATCCCCTGGCCCTGAGCTGTATTCTTTTTTTTTTTTTTTTTTTTTTTTTTTGTTTTTTTTGT